GAGGCTGATAAAATTGTGAATCTAAAAATATATACAGTAATTAGTCAAAAGGAGCAATTTGCCCTGAAGGACTATTAATTCTGTTTGGGCATTTTGCGTTGGTTCATTATAAATGTCGGTTCACTTTACAAATTGTTGCCACTAATATTATCGCCCTGTGTTATATTTAAAGAAATTAAGTAATGGAGAATACACATAAATGCCCAAATTTTGGAAGCCCAAATTTTGAATTTAAAATTTGTTTTATTATTGATTTCATATTTTGTAACACTTTCACGAATTCTTGATTAACAAACTCAACGATTTCAAAGTGAGCAATGGCAACACAGTACGAATTTTTTTTTTTTTTTAATCTCCAGCGCGCGAAAAATTCTAAAGCTTTGCTCATTTTAAAATTATTTTACGATATTGCTGTTGAATTTAATTTTATGGTTTAAGTGCAAAGAACATGATATTTAATTTAAAAAATCTGATGTGTACACCACATGACTTCCTTGCACGGAATATTAATTATACGCATTTGTTTCTTGCATTTCTTTTAAACTAATTGGATTATTTAAATCTACTTCGCCGACAGCGAAAAACCAATAGAATAATGGCATTCTTAAAATTCACTCTATTGTTTAACATAGCGACCTTGGCACTAGGTTCACTTAACAGTATTATTTCGTTCATATTATAATCAGAATGCAAAATGTATATCATTTGAAAGAATATCTAATCGTTGCACGTGTTCTTTTCAAATACTATTAAAGTAGAACGATGTAAAAAAGAAATTAAGCAAACAAAAACAAAAAAGAAACAGTTTTTCACACGATGAGATTTCTCATTCAATTAATTCAGTTTTCACTTCGCGAAAGACAAAAATACATAAAAGCTCAAAATCGTTAAAAAATTACTAATTATAAAATTAAATCTTAAACTTTTTCCTCGAAAATATTCCAGAAAGGATTAAGCATGATTTACTTCGCAATAATAAATGAAGGCGTTTTTTGTTGTTGCGAAGCTTAGTCTCTCCAGATTGGCAAAAATCTACAATTCTGCTGTTCAAATGTAAAAAATATGTCCGCCATGTTATTTAAACTACCGCACTTAAACAGCTTTTAAATTGTTGATAATTGTACAAATATGCTTCCAGAATTACGAAAGGCATAAAAACCTTAACCGGAAGATAAGAACAGCATATTCAATCATTTTTAAAGCAAAAAATGTACAATTTAGACACATAGAAGAGTAAAGAAACTGAGATCACTGTGCGGAGTAACAGAGTGGATATATATATATATAATGTAGTATTATATACGTTTGGTGCGGCCGTTGCACCAAAATACGAGGTGAAATCTTACATGTTATAGCAGTCCATATACAAAATTTCAACGTTGAGGCTACTCGTTTGAGTTATGCGAGATACGTACGTACGCACGATGTACATACATTCGTACAGACGCCACGAAAAATTCTCTTCAGAATTAATTTTAAAGCAGTTTTATAATTTTTTGTAGGAAACGAAAGTCTTTTTCTGTCCTACGTACAGATATCATGCAAAAACTCGTTTAAATTGCATTCGATAGCGGTCAAAATTTATTTTGTTGAATATGCTGCCTGAAACTTTTCGCGATTACAATACTTCCTTTTTACTTCGTACAAGGAAGTAAAAAGATAAACATATGAAAGGTTTCAGATTTTAAATTACGTCCAAAGGAGCGTTTTTTTAAAATTTCGTCTATTACCTTAATTTATTAAATATCACGTTCTTCGCACTTAAACCATAACATTCAGTTCAAGAACAATATCGCAGAATAGTTTTAAATTGTGCATAACTTTAGAATTTCCGATATACAGTCTCACGCGCTGGAGATAAAAATGTTTTTTCTGCACAACGTTGCCATGGCTCGCTTTGGAACCTTTGAGGATGTTAATCAAAAATTTGTTCCAAATTCCAAATTTGGGCTTCCACATGCTTATATTCACTGTAGGATTACGTCATTCAAAATTCGATGGCGCTATGTAGCACAGTTCGAGAAATAAACTTACATTTATGCAGAGTTTTCATTATTTAATTTCTTCAAATATAATGCAGGACTCTAACATTGGGTGGCAACAGCATCAAAAGTGAAACGGACATTTGTAGTGAACCAACGCAAAATAGCAAAACGAAAGCAATAGTCCTTCAGCGACAAAGCCCCTTTGGACTAATAAAGGTAACACACAAAACGTATGAGAAACGCCCCTTTGGGCGTAATATAAAATCTGAAAGATTCCGGATTTTTTTTTTTTTTTTTTACTTTTATTTTCAATATAAAAGAATCTATGTAAACATGATTTTAATGCATTCACTCTTGCAATATAAAGAGGTATTGTTGCAAATGATTCATGAGATTTCAAAACACTGTATTTCACAAAGTACTGCAAATAATTTTACTACAATTAATTAATACTATATGAAATCAAGTACATCATCTTTCAAAGTTTACTTATAAAACTACAAATGTTGGATCTGTGTTATTCTGGTTGCGTCACAAGCATCCAAATGTGTATTTTATTTCTGTCAACATGTATTGTAACTCTTTATACACTTTTTCTTTAGAAATGCTTTGTAATCCTGCAGATTTTACCTTTACACACGTGTAATATTCTATGTAGTATTCTTAAACTTGCAATACCATCATAGCATTTTTGAAAATTAAGAAAATCGGATAGTAACAAATGCATAATAATTATTACTGGGTACATTAAAACATATTATTAGGAGTTTTGTAAATATACAAATAATTTTAGTAAATTTGTAGCTTTTAAATATGTATATATATGTGTGTGTGTGATGTATCAGCTTTAGTCGGAGCTTAAATAATCAGACGATAAGTTTAAAAACAGGATCCATTTATTATTATTCAGGAGAAATAGCAGTTACAAAAATTAGATATCCGGAGTAAATAAAAAGAATTACTAATAACTTTTTGTATGAAGTTTATTGCATCGTGACATTTAAGAAAAAGCCCCGATATTCCTTTTGCGAGTCTTTTTATAGCCTCTGGAAAGGCGGAGCTTCCAAGAAATGACGTCAGCCTCTTCAGCCAATCCAGTTCGCTTTAATATCTCGAGAATATTCTATAACTGTACGTGTAGAAAAGGTGGGAAGAACAACTTGACTACGGGGCTGTGGATTTAATTCTACGTACTTTCAAATAACAGACAGTCGCCATTAAAAATGAAAAGAACATGCAGTTAGAATTTTAAGTGTATTCTTGACTATGGAATTTTATTATTACATTATATATATATATATATATATATATATATAATGTAATATGGAAATCTAATGAAGAGAAGAAGCTTCATCGGAAGAGGTCTATTTAAAATTGAGTAAATGGCTATCATACTAATTTGGCGAGATATCGCCCAGATACCATTCAGACGCAATGGCGATGGTTTTGGTAAAGTTACTATACTTGGCGACCACTTTGGTCTGATCCCTGTATATCTGTAACGGGTATTGTAATTAAATAACTGTAAGTGATCCTACGGCACTGATAACTGCCGTAATTAATATTATATGTGCACAACACTATATTAATTTTAACAAATATCTCTTGCAAAATCTATTGAGGACTTACGTATTAACTTAATCTCCTTGACGCACTTTGGCGATTTTTTACAGACGAAAAAGTAAAAGTTACTTATCAAGTGCAAGTTGGTTGCTTTCACGGCCTTTTTCGAAAAAAGTCCTGAAGTATCAATAATTATAGTAAGTTAGCAAGCATTATCAACATTTGAAAAATTAACATACTTCAATTTAAAATAAAAATTTTAAGTTTTAAATAAGGTTACGAGATATATTAAAAAATTAAAACACTTAAATTCGTCTTGAATTCTTTCTGTAATTTTTTGTGCGGTATTTTTCTACTCGAGTACACATCGATCTGTTTTAAAGAATTATCACTTGACATCGCTTAAATTTCGGTAGCACCAGCTATTTAACCAAGTCATGTCCTCGTTGTTCTCTTTAGAGATTTTGTGTCAAAATTCTGAGTTCCTGAACACATTTTACCGCAATTTCATCCATCACTGGAAAATTCCACAAATACATATTTCAAAACTGAGTTTAAGGCATAAAATATCAGGATTTGTTTATAGAGGCCGTTGGAATACAACAAAAAGAACGCATGCATAAATGGTGTTGTTGCTGGACTAAAGAATCATTTTACTCATGATTGCTACTAGTTTCGCACTCGGCGACTTCTACTAAGATGGTTGCAAAAACACTGAGTACCAACAGAAAGGAATTAATTAAAATGTTTTAAAACACCATATCAATCTAATAATTTTTTACCCCTTTCTACAACCATAAGTATAGAAAATTTTAAAGAAAATAAAGTTAAGATCCACAGTTTTCATGTACAAATGTTTCAAATACTTACCAGTTTCAAATACTTCTGATAAAAAACTTATGTTCTGCTGCTTATGTTCTATATTGCTTAATGTTTAATCCAGCACTGCCGGAATTCTGTGAGTTCATGCATTAATTATTTATTGAAGTAAATTATATAGCTTGAATATTTGTATCTATTATTCTTACAGGATCTTTTTTAAAAATAAAACTTGCGTACGATATTAAAAGATACAAAAGATTTTTCTTTAATATGGAAACAAGTTAATTATAAATTGCAGCAGACGATATTAAATATATTTTCTTTCCTTTTCGTGACTATGGCTCCGATGAAGTAGTAGTAGTAGTAAACAGTTGTATTCTTGACTATGACGTCATCTTCAAATACCCGCAAGAGTTAACAAGAACATGTACATTTAAAATTCTATCTTTATCAAAGATAAGACAAAATACTTTCTTTTTCATATGTAGAGTACATATTAAGTTATTTTGGACTAATTTTCGTCATAAAAATATTTCCTTGCTTTTTTTTTTATAAAATGTTAGGTTTCGGTTTTGAACGGCGGAAAAAATCTGGCAATGATATTTTGTTTACTTGTGAAGCTTCTTATCACGCTGAATTCGGTGACAGCGTCGAAAACACGAAAGCGTTTTTCAGTTGATAATAAATTTACGTCAAATGTGATTTCAGTCACTTTGCTTGATGAATCCGAAGTGCTCCAAACGACATATTCGTACGTTTCTTCCGTGATGCTTTCTATTGTAAGTACGGTATGGTCGTACATTTATTGGTACCTCCGGCCAGCTTTGAAATGGTTTTTACGAAGAACAACTCGTTTGTGTGAATTACAAAGGATATGTTATGGTGAAGAATTTGGTTATACAAGATGTAGTAAAATTGGTAAGTTTAATGTTGCTCTCGTTTATATTTTATATGTTTTTAATGTTATGTTAAAATTAAAATGGATGAAAATATCAATCCACTTAGCTTTCATGGATTATAGTGGAATTATATAATTTTGATTATTAAATTTGTTTAATTCATATTAATCTTCAGTCTAAATTGTGAATCTTCCAGCAGCCAACCGGTAAAATTGATGAACATTGGTGGTTTGATCCGAGTTCAATTCCCGGCGAAAGGGATCTTTTGCCTAGTAGTTTATGGAGTTTTATCTATGCGTAACGTGAATACCAGTCAGGGTAAAATCCTAGGAGAGCCCACACCCTTGGCAACAAACTGGGAAAGTGCAGAATCACCCACTGCTTCGTGCGTTTCTCAACTTGAAAATAACAAGTCAAAAAATTGCACATACTCGGTATCCATCGACCTATTTTCACTTAAAAAAACATCCCAAAATTGCACAAACTTGGCATTGCACTCTTCCTTGACTTTGTCCATGTACATATGGATACGCGCCATATAAGTGGGCGTGCCAAGAGTGTGGGCTCTGATAGGATCCAACCCGAGTCAGTTACTCTAAAAAACTTCCACGACTGTGCCTCTCCTTTAGAAGGAAATCTCTCGTATACTTTGCCGTAATACAAATAACTTCTCCTACCTAGCTGCAGTGCTGGTGCCAGAACCAATGCAGTCAGTGTGGACGCGGACTGCAGAATTTAGGGACTTGAAAATTTTTAGAGTTAAGGAAAGCTATGGGTAGCATAATTTAGTGGTGTCAAAGCTTTTAGGGCAGCAAGAGGTTATGCTCTGGCCTAGCTTAGGTGGTAGTTTATGTATTATTCAGACAATGCTACGAGCATATAATGGTACTTACATATTATACTGTCGACTATAAAAATTGGCTTCAATTGAAAAATGGAATTTTTCTGACACTCTGTGAGAGTTGCATCAATAACTCCTATGGAATTCTAAAGGATTTGATATATCTTTAATGAACAGTTTTCTACCCACTTTGTTACTGCACTTCATAAAAAAAAGGCTTTCCTTGATTTCTACTATTTTGTTATGCCCTCCGATTTTGACTGGGAGATTTGTTAAGAAAACTGAGTATAAACTTTTTTCAGGTGATTGTTCCAGTGTATCACCTTTTGTCAACCATATATTGCAGTTGTTCAATTCAGTAGATATTAATTCTCTTGACCCAGGTATAAATAAATCACAAAGCAGTCAAAAGTACGATTCTACATCCCTCATGCTTATTCCTTCAAAATGTAAGGGGAAAGAAAAATACACCAGTAATAACAGTTAATTTATATCCTTGTTCACAAAAACAAAAGGTGGCTTATCGAGAATCAATCAGGATTACATCAGATGAAGGAGTGTGTTGTGATGTGCTTATCCATAACTGACTCTAAATTGCATTGTTTGTGGCAGTTTTAGGGTCAAAAGGATAATAAATAAGTTCCTAATTTAGAAGTCAAACAACAAAAATCAGCGTTATATTTTTAAATTGCTGTTTGACTTCTAAATTAATGCTTGTTCGGCATGTTATTGTATCTTAAATAAGTACCTATATAATTTTAAATACATCTTAGTAAATGTATGTCTGATTCTTTTTGAGTTACGGAAAGGCAGTTCTACCTTTCAAAATGCTAATCTTGAAAATTTCAATATCAGAAAATGACTAGGAACTACTCTTATATGTGCCCTCAAGTCGGCAAATTCCTCGCCAAACATTTTTGGTGAGAAACTCCACAGTGCCATATTACTATCTAAATTTTTTGTCTACATTTCGAACTTTAAGCCTAAAATGGCTCCAAAAACATGCACATGCAAAAACTACGTTTTGAACACACAATTTAAGCTAAAAATCCGAAACGAAAACAAAAATTTAGATAGCAAAAACGTAAAGTTTCTAACCAAAAATATTTGACAAGAATCCATGTATACAGCGATGTGTTTTTTAACCCTCCAAGCGGCAAGGCCGTATATATGCATTCGAAAATAATGGCTGTCATATCGGCAAGGCAGCAAGCATATATGCATCCAAGTATTTTGGACCTCATAAACGAAACCGCAAAGCAGCATATATGCGTCCTGTCTCAGAGTGCCCTCCCCTCTCTGCTCTTAATGTAAACTGACAGGTGATAATTTTCCGAATAAATAGCTTGCTTAAAACCTCCAGCTGTTCTATGCTTATACCAGCTACAGTAAAATTAAATGTTTATGTATGTAAAAAGAATTTTCATTTTCCAGCATAATTATTCTCCAAATTTTAGGAACAGTTTGGCAAAGTGTAATTCCAGTTATAATTAAAATTAAAAGCAACGGTAATTGTAATTGGAATAATATTTTGAAATATGCGATTTCAATCACATTGCAATTAAAATTAGATTATGCAATTACAATTAGAACGTAAGTATCTTTTAATTGCAAAATTGCATTTTAATTTTTAAATCAGCTGCAATTACAATGCAATAATTACGGGCATTATAATTATATAATCTAATTACAATTATAAATTTTATTGCATCTAATCACAACTTACATTAAAACTGTAATTGCTAATACATGATTATTATATTAGCTAATTAAAACACAATTTTAATTGCAATAGTAGTAGTAATTATAACTATATAATTAGGAAAGTAATTGTAAGTGTAGTATGTAATTGAAATTGCATTGCAATTGTAATAAAATTATGCAATTACTAAGTAGTTATGAAGTTAAGAAATAGCTATTTTTTTAATTACAATTACAATTTATGTAATTTCATTTAAATTACAATTACTATACTTTTAGCTACAGTAAGTAATTATGATTATGTAATTAGGATAGCAATTGTTTCTGATAAAAGCAGTTACATAGCCCAGGAAAATCATGATGTAATTGCAAATGTAGTTGTAGAATGCAATTGAAAACACGTAATATTTGTAATAATGTTATGTAATTATTTTGTAATTACAATTACAATGTAACAATTTTTAATTACATATACAATTTACGCAAATGCATTTTAATTATAATTAGATTTTAATTGTGAAATCTAATTGGATATATAGTATAACCGTAATTATATAATCTAACAAAAATTACAATGCAATTGCAATTACTTCTTAATTAAAATTACACAGCAGATGCTTGTAATTATTTAATCGAAAAAGCTATGCCCCTTTTAATTTCAGTGGCATAGGCTAAGGAAATCGTGATAATATTTGAAATTTACAGTAGCTTCTGCATTTTGGATGATGTGTAGTTAAATAATACAATGGGATAATCACCTATAAGGAAAATATTAATATTTTCTGTCATGTCTTCTGAATCATTTTACATGTATTGTAGTTTGTGATACCAGCATAAATTGGAGTTTATTTAAAGGAAGTAATATTGGCTTTTTTATATAGACCTAAATGCACATAACGTTAGAAGCAAATATGTATGTTTATGATCTTCTTCGACATACATGTGAATTTAAATTACAAGATTAAGGAAAAGCAAGCATAGAGTGTATGCCTGTGCCAAGAGATGTTTTCACGAAGGATTTCTTATGGGAAGCTGGTCTTGTTTTATGTTGTACAAGAAATAAATCATAAAAATTTCATTTATCCTTTCTTTTTCAGAAAGGGGATGATCAAGGTCTAAACTAAGTCTTACAATTGTATCCAATCAATTGCTTTAGCTGGTAGAAAAATGACTCTGACCTGCAATAAGTCTGCTTATTTGCTGTGTATAGTAAACATTTTACTAACTCTATTTCTGGGAAAGTGGTTTTGTGAACCTGACTGCCATACCGAAAGATATCCCGGATAAGACATGGATGTAAATTGGCCATCGCCTTTATAGGATGCAACGGTGACCCGCTTATCAGGTGACTCCATAATAACGTGACCACCACTTCTGGCTTTAGTAATGGCCATTGTCTAAAATGGCTAGTACTTGTCATTGAAAATTATATTATTGAGAATTAGTCTTTTATTAAACATAACACATACTTCCAAAAAATAGTTAAAATGCATTCTTTGCTGAGAAGTGAAAGTACTTGCGTGAATTATTTTCTGCAGTTTCAGGTAAAAACAAATAAAAGTATAATTTTCTTTTGCGCCTGTGAATGTTATGTTACTTAGATTATAGCAAAGCATCCCTTCCCAGATGCTTCTGTGGAGGTCTTTCTAAAGAAAACTGTCTTTTATTCACATCACCCGTGAGGAAAAGGTCTTTATTTAATTGAATGAGATGAAGCATTTAAGAAGAATGATGTATTCATGGGAATTTTCTAGAGGAAACTGGTTTATATTCAGGTTACACAGAAGGAAATCCATGGAGATGTCCAACATTTAGATTGTCTGCCAGAATTTGAATCCGATTTGAACTAGCACTATTTAAAAGATGTTTTATTTACTCGATTACTGCTGAGCCAAAAATCTAATTGATTTTGCAGTTATATAGTAATTCGAATAGTCATTGCATTAGAATTGCAGTTATAGTTGCGTCAGTTGTAGTCAATAACAGATAGATTAAATTTTAAAGATAAATGAAAAATCTTATAATTTTTCAAATGACAATATAAGAAAGTGTATTCAGGGATGTTCTAAGTTTAATTAAGACCTTATTTTTTGCCCACCGACAATACTTGCCAAATGCTGCTCGAAGGTTTTTTTTTTTTTTTTTCCTAGACATAATCATGTCTACAATTTTTGTTTTCCAAGGAAAGTATTTTATATCATAAATAAAAATAATGCCTCTCCCTCAAGGAGCAGTACACAGCGAGTACTGAGAAATTTAATTGAAAATATATTATAATTTTAGTTAAGACAGATACAATGTTTTTTAGCGGTTATAATTATATTATTGTAATTGCAAAAACGTCAAATGAGTTCTATAGATTAGCATATTTGTTTTTATTGAAAGCACCAGTACTGAACATTTTAATATCTTCAGTAATGAAAAGATGTTTCACTACTCTCTTGAAATGTATATACGATAACATATTCTTATTGCTG